CCCTGTTTCTAATAGATCTGGACAGTTCTCTTTTAGGTTTCCAAGTTTATTTATTTACTCATGGTTTTCATTTGTTTTTTTTTAATTAATTAATTAATTTTGATTTATCAACAATCACTTCCATAAGCTTTTGAGTTTTAAATTTTTCTCCCCTTCCCTCTTTACCTCCATCCCCAAGATAGTGCACAATATGCTATACACATACATTCATATATATATATATATATATATATATATGTATGTATGTATATATGTATGTATGTATATATGTATGTATGTATATATGTATATATGTGTATATATGTGTATGTGTGTGTGTGTGTGTGTATATATATATATATATATATTTAATAACAAGTATTTATTAAGTGACAAATACATGCCCTGCTATATGCTGGGGTGGGACAAAGACAAAAGGGTGGGAGTGGGTTCAACACACACACACAAACAAGTCATTACAATATCTATGCAAGATAAATACAAAATAATGAGGGGAGGCGCTAACAACTGGCAGAATCTCTGCTCTAGTTCTACAGCTTATCTTATCAGGGACTTTCCAATCACTAATGGTTCAGGACCATGTTGACCAATCAATAGCCAAAGATGTGTAACATCATCAGTTACCAAGTGAAAATGCTACTTGAAGGACTCCTTTCGTGCTTCTCCCTTCCGTTAACCCGTTCAAAAAAAAAAAATGTGAGTGCTGGGAAAGCTGTAGCTAGTGAAGCAAGAGAACATGACTTCTTCCCCAAACTTCCTCTCCCTGTGCGTATATGTATGTATTTATATTAGAGGCATCTGTGTAGTGGAAAGAGCACCCGATTTGGAGTCAAAAAAGCTGGGTTCAAATTAGAGCTCCGCTATATACTAGCTGTTCGCTCTTGGGCAAATCACTGAGCTTCTTCCATCCTTATTATCCTCAACCGATGCAGGGGTGGGGAAACTGCTGCCTGAGGGAGGGCTGAACTTGAGGACCTAGAGGTGACATGTGGCCTCGAGGGCCAAGGTTGCCACCCCTGCAAGGGTTATGACAACCATCCATAGAAGGCAAGGATTGTTTTCATGTTTATCTTTTGATCTTTTATCCTTACCACCTAGCACAGGGACTGACAATGAGTAGACATCTAATAAATACTTGGTTTAAATTTTTTTAATTACATTTTTTTAACCAGTAAAAATCCACCATCTCTCCCTTCCCCACAACAAATGTTTCTGGCTTGTTGATGAATAGTTAAAAACATCACCTAAGTGGTGTAGTGGGAGACCAGGGTTAAATTCCCGCTTCTTACACTTATTAGCTGAGTGTTATTGGTAAGTCATTTAACTTTTCACACTTCACTTCAGAAGGTTGCCATGAGGCTCCAATGAAAACATATGCTTAAAGCACTTTGTAAATTTCAAATAAATATTAGCTATTATTACCATCATTACTCTTATGATGATGTTAGGAACTATATGCATGGCTAAAAATATAGCTTTATTTTTGTTCTTTATCTCCTGCTACGAAGAAGAATTCAAAAAATGGTCAAGTCCTAAATTCATTAGGCTGTGTGCTTGCTCTCATGCTTTCTAGCACATTTTCAGCAACACCTTTAATGAGGACCAACACAGCATCAAGGTTAGCTACCTCACTGAGGGTAAATTATTCAGTTTGAAAAGGCTACAAGCCGAGACTAAGATGGAGGGAGAGTTGCTGCTTGATTTGTGCATGCAATGCAGCCTCTGAAACTGAGACGCAACAAAGTATGGATCAGTTCTCTGCTGCTTGTGCTAATTTTTGCCTAATGATTAACACCAAGAAAACACACGTGCTCCACCAGCCATCACCACACCATCCATATGTGGAACCATCAGTTACAGTAAATGGAGAAGTTCTGAATACTGTGGGATAAGTTCACTTATCTTGGGAGTATGCTTTCCAGGGATGTACACATTGATAATGAGGTTGACACACACATTGCCAGAACTAGCTCAGTATTTTGGAGGCTCCAAAGAAAAGTGTGGGAGTTAAGAGGTATTAGACTGACTACCAAACTGAAGGTCTCCAGAGCCATTGTGCTGACCTCTTTGTTATATGCCTGTGAAACCTGGATAGTCTACCAGTGCCATGCCAAGAAACTGAATCTCTTGCATTTGAATTGTCTTAAGAAGATTCTGTAGATCACCTGGCAGGATAAAATACCAGACACTGAGGTCCTTTCTCGAACTAAACTTCTGAGCATTCAAACTCTACTGCAGAGAGCAAAACTTCAATGGGCTGGCCACATTGTTTGAATGCCAAAAGTCCACTTACCTAAAAGACTATTTTACAGGGAATTCACACAAGGCAGGTGCTCACATGATGGTCAGAAGAAGGGATACAAGGATACTTTTAAGATCTCTCTAAAGAAATTTAGAATCATTTGCATGACATGGGAGACACTGGCACAGGACCACTCATCATGGTGTGCCCATGTCAGAGAAAGTGCTGTGCTCTATGAGCAAACCAGAATTGGAGTAGATAAAAGAAACGCGAGATGCACAAATTGAGAGAATCCACCCCAAATGTTCACACAGATTGTTCGTGCCCAACCTGCGGTAGGGCATTCTGAGCTCATATTGGTCTGATCAGCCACAGTTGGACACACTGTAACTTGACTCTGACATAGTGATGTCATTTTGCTCTTTTCCGAGAACAAGAAGACAACCAAACCAACTATATATGTATATTATGTATGTATGTATTTGTATGTATATGTGTATGTGTATGAAACTAAGAAAGATGAGAGTAAACCAAAGTCAATTCATAGTACAGAAGAATAGTCTCATAAAAGATCACTGGAAAACCTGAACTTCTAGAAGTGTTAATGGGTAATCGTGTTAATGGGTGGTTTTCTCCCAATGGGCAGAATTACTCTCCTAAGGAATTTAAGATCATATGCCTGGGAGATAGTTGAGGACATGTAACACCTTTCTGGGTGTTACACTTTCTAGAGGACCACCTTACCTGTCCATCAACTACACCACACTGCCCAACAGTTAAGACCTAGGGGCAGCTAGAGGACAACATAGATAGATAGAGCATTGGACCTGGAGTTAGGAAAACCTGCTTCCAGTCCTGTCTCAGATGCTTACTAGCTGTTTGTCCCTGGGCAAATCACTTAATCTCTTTCATCCTCAATTTCCTTATTTGTAAAGAAAGGCCTAGCATCTGCTTCACAGGGTAGTTGTGAGGACCAAACGAACTAATACCTGGAAAGGGTTTTGCAAGCCTTAAAGAGCTTTGTAAATATTAGCTCTTATTTTTAGGTGTAGACATATTTCCACATTTTTCCTTTTGCCGTAGGAAAGCGTTACATTTCAGGAGCCGTGCTTTTGGTTTCACTTCTGGCCTCCTCGCCCTCATGTGGAAGTTGGCAGTGGTTCCAATACTCTGGTTTAGACTAGCAACTTCAGGAAAGTTCAGTCTCTTCCCGTAATGCCTGGACCACGATGGAGTATAAAGAAGAAGAAAAGGAGAATGATCCTTCCCTCCTTAAGACTGAGCACTGTATAGGCCTCAGAAAACTGACTCTCTGAGAATGGATATAAATTGCTTTTTCTACACAAGTGGGAAGGGGAGAGTGAGTTTGGGATTGTTTGCACACTTTCTTTTTACTCTGTGGTCTACTGATCTTAAATCATAGCTATATCTGTGGGGGCATTTGCCTTTAGGGCAGAGGATAAAATAACCTCCTGCTTTGTGGATTAATCCAAGAACTCTTGCTTGGGATTGGGCCAGATGATCTCTAAATTTTCTCCCAATTCTGAGATTTTATAACTCTAGTCTACAGATGCAACTCCTGTTATCCCCTGATGACTCCAAAGCAGTGATGGTCGCAGCACAGAGGAAAAGATGTCTCAGTCTGTGCTTCCAGATGCTAACAATAATGACAATCAGCAAACCCCTGCATTTTGGCTTACTGGCCTTCATGGGTCTCCCTAGATGTTTCCAAGTCAAGTAACTGCAGTATTTCCTTCTCGAGATGCCAGGAATGCAGCAGGTGCAAGCCTAGGCTGATGAACCTCTGTGGCATGTTCTCCTGTAGGCCAGCTGGAAAGTACTGTAAGCTGCTCTGGGAATCAAGTTTGGATCCTGTCTCACAGGGTTCTTTTGAGAACCAAATGAGAAAATGTGTACACGATGTTTTGAGTACCTTAAAACGCCATGTAAATGTCCTGTTGTAATATGATCCCTCAAGAAGTTATTTGCTATGCTTAGGAATTTACCATGAATTTGTATTTGGATCCATTTCCCAGGACAAGGACCAGGCCCAGCAAAGCCATTACCATCCCTAGGGGTTCCAACTTGGTTTTCTTATAGAAGAACCATAGCTGCTCAATCTAGGGGGCTCTGAGGAAGGAACAGTGACCCCTCCTCACTGTCTCAAAGGTTATCCCCAGGTCCTGCTGCTCTGTCCCTTCTTGGCTGAAAAACTAAAAAGCCAAGAATGATAGAATGGCAATACTGGAAGTTCCTGTAAAGACCTTTATTTTAAAGAGGAGGGAAATGAGATCTGCAGAAGTTTACAAAGACAGGGAAGGTCAGCAGAAAAATTCAGATGTCCTGATCCTTCATTCGGTGTTCTTTGCATGTCCATTTTACTCAACTCTGGCCCTCCCCTGGCCAGCTCTCCCCCATGCCACTCCCCTAAAGTCCTAGAACTGAACTATAAATATCTTGATCCCATACTCGCCTCTAACCTCATCATAAAAACAATTCACAAATGGCTGATTGTCATAAAGTAAAAAGTGCCTTGGGGGCAGGAGCTTTCAAACTGGGGGTAGGGATGACATGAAAGTAGAACCCACCCAACACCAGCCCCCTCCTCCTATCCCAGGTTCTCCTGATCAGGTTGGGCCAGACTTGTAGGGGCTGCTCAGGACCAATCATCAATACGATCTCAAAATTCTCTAGAACCCAAATCCTTCACTTATGAGTTTTTGAAAATCCTTTAACAATAAGGAATCAGACAAAGAGATTCTAATACTGACATGCCCAGGCATTTATTTCTTTTAGAACAGTTTCCAGGATGTGAATGGGCAGCAGTGATGAGGAATAGAGGACAATCACAGGGGGACCCTAGATGCCCCCTCACCATCACAGGTAGAACAGATGAGAAACAATTCATGTCTGCTAAATACAGGATTACAAAAGATAAGGGAAGGGTAGACAGGCAGAGTTGGGCTCAGAAACAGAGATATTGGATCATAATATAACAAATTTAGAGCTAGAAGGGATTTTAGAGATCATATAGTACAGTTCCCTTATTTTACAAATGAGGAAAATGAGGCCCTGAGAGGTTAATGACTTTCCTGAGGTCACACAGGTAATAAGTATCAGGCAGAATTTGAATGCATATCCCTCTGACTCCAAAGTACTCTTTCTACTATACCTTGTTCCTTTAATGGGGCAAGGGGAAAATTAAGCAGGATAATAGGGGTAGAGAGTTCAATGGGGGGGGTGCACATGTTGGGGACAGTGTGGATGTGTGTGGCAATGGGAATGTATGTGGGGTATGGGGGGTATTGGTATATGGGTGTGATCCCCAAATGGAATTATGGTTTTTCAAGAGGCAAAAGAGTTGGAAGAGTTACTGGTATGAGTCGATCAGAGGAGTTGGGGGAAAAAAAATATCCAGAAGAGAAACTGAAATGGAGAGTGCAGGAAAGCTGGGTTGGGAGGCCAAGTCAGGAGCTGGGATCTTCTGGTTATTCTCATCTCCTAGAAAGGCTGTCACCTGCAGTTGGAGGAATACAAAGTGAATGATGGATCCTGGGCTAAGGGGTATCAAGATTCTTTTCCTGGATTCTTTTACCCCAAGATATCACGTCAGCCCTTCCTCATTCTTTGTCACGGGTAAAGGTTCCTAATACCCTAATGACCCAAGAGGGCAGCTAAGTTATTTCAGAGAAAGGAGAGTGAGAGCAGCAGGGTATGCTAGAGCCAGATTATATAGGCTCCAGAGAGTTGACTGTTAAATTTTCAGTATAAGCATTTGTACCTGAGAAATTCAAAAGCCTATAAATCAGGAATTGATTTATTATTCATATTTAAATTAGAATTAAGATTGAGATTAGAATTTATTATGATGGAGGAAATATTAATAATGCAGATTAAATGTAAATGTGTGTCTTTCCTTTTAGAGACCTGGTTGTTAAACATTTACCAACATACCCCTGAATTTCAGTAATGATTCCAAGGTCAAAGGCAGGGGTTCTTAACCTTTTTTGTGTCATGTACCCATTTGGTAGTCTGGTAATGCTTATGGATGATTTCTCAGAAATTATTTTTCATTCTGGATTCAAATAGCCCTGGAATACAGGTTGGATTTATGAATAGAGAAGGGGCTGATAAGATATGGCTGGGAGTAGTTTGGGGGAGGGAAAAAGTGCTCTTGGATTTCGTGACAGGTTCTAGTCTAGGGAAGCACACACCAATTTTCTTTCATGTTTCACTCTTCTGCCTATTCTGCTGTTCCCTCCCTTTACCTTCCATCAAAGCAACTTACAGGGTTCCACGAGGGCCACCACGGGAAGCGTTGCTTGCTCGCATGCCCTTAATAATAAGGATGGTGCCTACGACGATGCCCACCAGGCCTATGGCCAGGCCCAGGGCACAGACCACAGTCTCTGTTGTCTCTGGCAGTGGGGTCCGTATTTCTGGTTCTGAGGGGAACAAAGAACAAGGAGACCCAGTTCAAAGACACAGTGAACATGTCAAGGAGTTGTGCTTGGTCATGATGGGACTCAGTCCTCAGCACCTAGTGGCTGTTGGATAAATATTTGTTGCGAGTTTGGAGTTGTGGGGCAGAAAGTCTGGATTTGGGTGAGAATCTGTATAAACAGGACACTTGGATGCTGGAAAGGGGCCTATGGGGCCCTTCAGAGGGATCTTGGGTCCTCTGATGAAGCAGCTTATGGGAATATTGAAATAGCCACTCACCCCAATGTTTGACAGCAGGTTGTTCCAGTCCCCAGTGCTCGACCTTGCAGTCATAGTAATCGGTGGCAGAGGGGATGAAAGTGAGGTAGTGGAATTTTCTGAAGGAGTGGTCAGGACGGGGGAGGAAGACAGTCTCAAACACACCATCAGTGATGGGACGCCCATTATGAAGCCATGTCACAGTAAGCACGGGAGGAGAGAACTTGTCAACAAAGCAGACAAGGACGTTGGGCTGGCCCAGCTCCACTGGGCCCTTGGGAAACACTGTCACTTCAGGGGGTACTAGGAGAATACATAACAAAAATGAGTATTTCATGCTCAGACCTTCTCTCCTGAGCCTGCTAGAATTTAGGGGCCCTGTGAGCTGTTCCTTCTGATCCAATGCTGTGTCCCTTATGTCCTAAGCCTCCTCCCACCAATTTAGAGTCAACATCAAGGCATGGAGGGTGCTAGGCCCCCATGCCTAGCTTTCCAGGGATTAACATTAGGGATAATGGCTTATGTGATACTGCGAAAGAGGGGAACGCTACATGATAGTGTGAAGGTCCTGACCAAATGTACCATGTGCGTAAACTGGACTCTTCTTGCCAAAGTTCAACATTTTTTCAAGAGATGGAGTTATATCAAGTCACATAAATATGCAAATTTTCCATAACACTTAGAGAGAAAATCTCACATAGAATCTAAGGGAGTAGAAGACTATGCTAAGAGGTTGAGTCCCCAGCCCCTTCCCTTTCCCTCTTGCCCCGAGGGTGTAGGTGAAGCAGGTACCGTTGGTGTCAGGGGTGTTGTTGGACCGTTTCATCATGGTTTCCAGGTTGGCTTTGTCCACAGCAAGGTTGGCCAGAGCACCCTGAGCCTCAAAACTGGCAAATTTGCTGAAGTCAGGAAGCCTCCAGACTGTCTCTTTGCTCTTCAAATCCACATGGAAAATCTCATCTCCATCAAAGTCAAACATGAACTCTCCCAAGGGGTCGTGGGTCTGGTAGAACTCTGCCTGGATGATCACATGCTTCTCTGTATAGGACCAGGCATACGGGTTAATGAGGGAAGTTGAAGAGAAACAGGAAGAGAGAGACCCAAATGGAGAGAGAAAAGAAAGAATAGGCATACAAGGAGGAAAGTGAAGGAGATAGAGGGCAAAGGAGGGGAGGAAGGAGAAAGGACATGAGAGATATAAGTTACATTACAAAAAAGAAAGAAGTGGGAGAGCAAGGAGAAGCCATGGAAAGGAGAAGGGGGGAAGGGCAGAGAGAAGGACTTCTTTAGACTTTTGTAGTGGATCTAAGTTATAAACCAGAATCCTCCCTGCAGTGGGAAGCCCAGCAGCTAAAAATGGCAATGATCCCCAAATCCTTCTTCCTAGCATGCAGTCCCCTTAATCTTCCCAGTGAAAGAACCCCAGCTGAGCTCAGAAGGCCCTCTGCTCTCCAAAACTCTCAATCCCCCTTTCTCAGAGGAGGCCCAACTTCAGCAGTTTCAGGTGGAGGCTCTACTGTGCCTTAGGCTGGATGAACCACAGGGTCACCTAGTGGAGGATGTTCTTATGTATGCTGACAGGAGAGGTACCAAAAACTACATCAATGAATGGGGCATTTGCCCAGTCTCTTGGAGAGTAAACTACACCTTTACCTGTTACTTTTCCCAAAGTGAAGAAGAAGGGGACATTTGTGGTTACTGACCTGGGAACGGCTTCAGTGATATTATGGGAACTTGCCTAGAGAATCCTTCAACTATGTGTGTGTCCCTGAAGGGTGGAAAAATGAGATGCAGAACTGGCTGAGCTTTCTTTTTCCTGTGAGTGGCAATTCTCTACATCCCATATGCGCCTAGAAAAGTACAATGGAAATGTGGGGCTAGGGATAAAGAGATTGTTTCCCTCAGGAGTAACTGTACATCAGTCTCAGGATAGACTAATGAGACCTCAGCAATCGGGTCTTTGACATAAAATCATGGGCCCTCAGACACTGCCTGAATTGACTTCAGAGTTCCCGTCATTCAGTCAATCTGTCAGTATTAATATTTACACACTCCCTGTGTATAGATTATGGCGCTCAGTATTGGAGTATAGGAAATTATACAGAAAGACTAGGAAGTTCTTCAGAACAAGATCTTGTCAAGTTTGTGAGAGGTAGTATAGTTTAATGGTTAGTGTGCTGGACTTGGAGTCAGGCAGATCAAAGTTCAAATCCCATCATTAATTTCTATGAATGTCAGTTTTCTCATCTGTCAAATAGGAATAATTATGTTTGTAGGTAGGTACTACAGGTATAAAAGACCCTCATAGAGGTCTTTCGAGGCTCAAATAAGATAATCTATGCCCTGTTGTTCAGTCATTTTTGACTCTCTGTGACCCCATTTGGTGCTTTCTTGGCAAAGATACTGAAGTGGTTTGTCATTTCCTTCCCTAACTCATTTACAGATGAGGAAACTGAGGCAAATGGTGTTAAGTGACTTGCCCAGGGTCATACAGCTAGTTAGTGTCTAGGACTGGATTTGTACTCAGATGTGTCTTCCCGACTTCAGGCCTGTCACTCTCTCCACTGCACCACCTCGCTGCCCCAGTGTAGAGCTCTCTGCAAACCTTATAACGCCATATAACTGTTATTAATAGCTAATAATACCTTAATAAGGGTGGCTGAACAATAACAAATACCTAAATATCATGGGATCAGGCCTAAATAACTAAAGGAAGAATGTCTTTAACATCAACATGGGAAATTCCTATATCACAAATAGTATTCAATTAAATAAACATTTATTAAGTGCCAATAGTATGGGCACTTACACCTGGGGGAGATACAATATTTACATAGAGGGTAGTGAGTAGTACTGACCCTACCTGATCTGAGTGGGGTCAATAATAATAATAATAATAATAAAAACTTTCTGGAGGGAATACTGAATTAGGGTTTGACGAGGGTTATTATCCTCAAATAGAGAGGGGAAGAGCAGCTCTATATGAACATGATGATCTGTGCTACTGCCTAATATGGTGAGACAGAAAAGAACAAGTCACGTACATACAGTCCTATCACTGACCTCTTTATTTTTCTTTTCTTTTTTTTTTGTTGGGAAATTGGGGTGAAGTTACTTGCCCAGGGTGAAGTGACTTGCCCAGGGTCACACAGCTAGTGTTATGTGTCTGAGGCTGCATTTGAACTCAGGTCCTCCTGAATCCAGGGCCAGTGCTCTATCCACTGCACCACCTAGCTGCCCCCACTGACCTCTTTAAATACCACTCCGGCCACTATCCCGTGGCTTTAGTTGCATTTTTCTGTCATTCTGCCTCTCCTCTGTTGCTAAGCAGTTACCAAAGTGCTGTGTGATCATTAGGATCATAGATTAAGGGCTGAAGGGAGACTGGGAAATGAGTCCAGCTCTCTCATTTTACAGATAAGGAGACTGAGGCCTTTCCCAGAGAAGAAGCTTGACTTGTCCAAGGTCACACTGGTACTAAGAAGCAGAGGTGGGATTCTAGTGCAAGCTGTCTGATTCCAAATCTAATAATCTTTCCTTTGTACCGCTTCAGCAGCATGTTGTGGTCAGGAATCCCTAGCCACCAAGGCAGAGTCTTTCCTGGACTTGAAATGGTAGGTTCTAAGTCCCAGTACGATTTGTTGTGGGTTCTGGAGAAATTTTGAGGATCCAAGTAGAGTTTGGAAGTCTTAAAACTCCCAGAAGTGATGAGAATTCTCATAGTAGCCTTGAAATATCCCCAATTCCCAAAGCTGACCCTGATAAGTGGTCCCTCCCCCCACCCCAATTGCTCTTCTCTCCTTGCTTTTCCTTCATTAAGGAGCCTGGAAATGTAGAATCATACTAGGGATTAGATATTTCAGTCTCTAGTTGGTTATTACAAACAGATTTTACCTTCATGGAAATGTTAAGAAGGTAAGACCCAAACGGGGGATTTAGTTTAGCTATGGGTACCACCTAGGGATATTCCTGACTGTATCCAAAGTTTCTCTCTCAGATTACCAGATAAATCCAATCCCTTACCTCTACTGAGGTTTTAACACTCACCTTTAACAGCTCTGGCACCCCAGGGACTCAACAGCACTGCCAGGATGAAGACTCCTAGGATCAAGGCTTTGTTGGGGGTCATCTTCTTGGGGTACACACTGCAATCTCAGCACCACGTCTTCTAAAGAGTGGAGCAGTGACAGAGACAAGGGGAAGAAGGATCTCTGGCTTGGGGTACACAGTTTGTAGTTGAGTGGGGGAAACCCAGCCTAAAAGCAATCAGCCAATCAGAGAAATCCTTTGTGCTGACATCTCTGTTGCCAGGTGAAGGAAGCATGAGACAGGACCATCAAGAGAGGAGTTGAAAAAAATGCTTAAGAGATCATCCCAGTACAGGGTAAAGAGACTTCTATGGAATGAAGTGACCTTTCCTTCTTGGCAGGGAAAAATGTAAGGATAGGAGGGGAGATATCTGAATCCCCCCCCTTTTTTTTTTATAACCTATTCTTTCCTAAGGAAGGGTAAAGCCTTGGGAAGAAGTAGTGATGGTGGGAGAACAGGCAGCAATTTATAGTTGAAATACAATTCTTGGTGGGGGCTGATGCTGAGGGTCATCATCGATCATGGCTGAGAGTTTAGCACCAAACCTGATACCTAGGATGGGGGTGGTATTATCTCCAGGGTCTGTCTCCATGACCCAGCATCAATGAATTAAGGCCATTTGTTGCAGTAATTTGAATGAGTGCTGTATGTAAGTTCTAGGAGTTTTTAGATGAGGAGAATTGATTGATTTCTCCTAACCATTTCAATTCCTATATTTATTAGCAAAGGCATCTCTAAATCAGCAATTATGTGGTAACTCAACATTAGCACCAATGAAGGAAAAAGGAGAAAATCCACCCAGGATTGATATTTCAAAGTGAAATTTATTAAGATATGTTTTGTAGAGCCTTAGGGGCATTGGAGATGAGAGGGGAAGGGAGGGAAAAACATAGTGCTTCAGTCTTCCAAATTGGTTTTCAGATTGAGGTGGGATGGCGGCTTCCAAGATGGCTTTCTAGTTTTTCCTTTTGTACAGGAAAAGCCCCATTTCTAACATAAGTTTTGGAAACTCCTTTTTTGGGGGGCGGGGGGAATTTCTGGGATGATGATTATAAGAAGCAAGGTATTATCTGTTACCTCTGCTTCTAGACCTACACTCTGGGATCTCCGATAATGGAATTAGTTGAGGGGGATAAGAAGCACAGCATTAGAACATCCCCCATTCCCTATTTACTCCAAATTGGCTAAAAAGGGAGATGTGGAAGATTCATTCTGAAGTTTCAAGTCCTATGGGGCCATTTGGACCCAGCTGAATGGTTACTTATGAAGTTATAATTGGAGAGACAGGGAGAAAGATTCTCAATTGGATTTAGGAGTGAAAGTAAAAGAAAATGACATTAAAACTTAATAGGCACATAGGATATTGGCTAATTAATATGGGCATGGGTCTTTCAGGGAATTTTGCTTCTAAATTACCCAGCTAATGCCAAGGGGATGGGCTTGGGTCATTCTCTCAAAGAGTACCAAAGACCCTTTGATGAAGGACTTTTTCTCTTCAGATTCTACATGTGATTTCACTGGTCCTCTTTGAAAACAAAGGATGAACAGATGAATCCTAACTCAGATTCCCTAGGAGAAAGAAAAACAAACTTCTAGTAAATAAAGATCCTAACAGGGAGAAGAAAGTTTCAATCATTAATATAGCTACTTATAAATCTGTTTATGCTCAAATATATTTTCTGTAATGCAATGTCAATTTTATTTTACACTCTCCAGTGGAAGGATGACAGTCACTAAATTCTAAGAAGCAACTTATCCTTATATACATCATTAAAAGGTTCATAGAAATCAACAAATCAGACACTATGAAATGAATTCTGATAGTCATAGTTTAATACCTTACTTAGGGGTAGGAGAGAAGGAGGAGTAGTGAGGAGTATCTCAGACACTAACTTTTGCAAGCAGAATGTAAATGCCCTCAAAGCTGATGGCTGGTGTGAGGCTTGAAATGATGTTTCTAAGCCTCTCTAGGGGGGTTTATGGATTCCAGGAAAATCTTTGGGACTCCAGTATAGTGTGAAAGTGCTGAGATGCCAAGAGCTGGTAGGAAGTAAAAGGATAGTCTTGGAATAGCCCTGATGCCCAGAAATGTTCAGATCCAAGGACTGTATGGTTCCTACATTCACACTTCTAACCCAGCCCATCTCCTATAACCCCTGATTTGTTGGGCCATTCCCCTTCCAGTAAGGACGTGGGAGCTTCCAACCACATTGTTGATTAAAGAGATCCAAGCCCCAGGGCACCCCAAAACCTAAAAGTGCTATAGAAACACCCAAGAGAGCTAAGCAAGTCCCAGTAATCTCTGGGAGGAGGACAAATGATATGGAATCCGGTCCAGAAGTCAACCTAGAGTAAAAGGTTATATCTAGTGGAACATCATGGATGTCTATCTTTGATCCTGGATCACTCACCATTTTTATCAATGACTTGTGTAAAGGTATTCTGGGAAGGGTGGCTAGCCTAATAGGATTGGCCAAAGAATCCAAGTCTTTTGAGCATATGTAGAGTGCTTGGTTGATGCAATCCCTGTTTGGACTTTGCAACACCCACGAGCATTGTTTAACTAGTTCCCATCCACTAACCACATGGAAAAGAAGGACTTATTTGATTGTCATTGGAGTTAGAACCGGAGTGTATTTAAATGACAGTAGGCAGTCAGGGCCTGAACCTTGATTTGCCTCTTCCTGTTTGACATATTTAAGTAAGGAGGCAAAGACTAGACCCTTGGTGGAGAAAGAGGTGTCAAGTCTTTATTGCCCCACTAGAGTTGCCAGGATATGGCCCTGTTGTTGTTTCATTCATAAATATGTCTATGCTTGCTGATTTTAGGTGAAGGTGACTGGAGAAGGCTATGACCTTGTGAGTTTTGAAAGGTCAAAAGAGTGAGACACTCTCTCTCGTGTCAGGGAGTAGTGTCCATGTTAGGTTTTGTGGCCAGCCACTCCAACATCGAGCTTTCCAAAGAATAACCTTCAGGACCCAGCACACCATTATGGTGGATTCATCATATTTGACATTATTTGACATTGAAATTGGTAAGATCAATGCAATATAGAAATTGTGTTAAGTTTGAGTCCACTCTCCTCAGAAACCAAGGTGGTATTGCGAGCAACGTGTCCCTAGATGTTAAGGATAATGCTTATACTTCCGTTCTTTTTATATCTTTGAAATAAATATCTTTTTGTAAAAGGTAAATCCATGCTAATTAGTTAAAATGAAATTCTAGAGTTCATTATTGGTTGTTGACAGTGGGAAGACCGCATAAGAATGGAGGTTCAATTTGCTAGAATTAGGGAAAGTCTGCCTTGACTCCTTTAGGACACTGAAGGGAAGATGTAGTCAGCCTCATTCACTGAGAAAGTAAATCAAGAGTAATCACAATATTAGCATTTTGGTTGACAGACCTAGGATTCAAAAATATACTGATAAGCTAGGACACTAGGCCAAATCTAATAAGATGAAATTTAACAGGAATAAATGTGAAGTCCTACTTTGGAATTCAAAGAATCAATTGAACATATGCAGGATAGAAGTATGGGGAAACATTAGTTTGTATGAAAACTCAGTGCTTAGCAGAATATCTGGCCCATAGTAGGAGCTTAATAAATGTTAGTTGACTGACTGAAAAAAAGGAATGAATAAAAAAAGTTTATGGAGTATTTAATATATGCCAAGCACTGTGCAAAGTGTTTAAAAATTCAAATTTTAAAAAATGAAGGCAGTTTTGACCTAAAGAAGTTTGCATTCTAAAACGTATGTCGTTGACCAGGAAGGAATAATTTGTTTTAGAAAGTTATAGGGGTAGTCAGTGAAGACAGTTCAATAGAGTTTTAATGGCTTACAACCTTGATAAGAGTCAACAATGGGTCATGGCAGATAAACTAATATGATCACTAATTCCCCACTGGAAAAATATTGGTTCAATTTGAGAAGTCACTTCTAATGGTTACAGTTGTCTGAAAATGAAATGAGAGGCCCCTGTTATTGGAGATGAGTGGGTATAAGGGGCAGTTAGATGGTGTACTGAATAGAGCACTAGGCTTGGAATCAGGAAGACTCATCTTCCTGAGTTCAAATCTGGCCTCAGGCACTTACTAGTTGTGTGACCCTGTCTTTAATCCTTTTTACCTCAGTTTTTTCATCTGTAAAATGAGCTGGAGAAGGAAATGGCAAGCCATTCCACTATCTCTGCCAAGAAAACCCCAAATGGGGTCACAGAAAGAGTTGGACACAGCTGAAAAAATAACAAAATACGAAATATTCCATGACCTAGATTCCCGTTTCTGTCACAGGATGTACTATGACAACTTTTGAGGTGCCTTCCAACCTCAAAATTCTATGATTTTTGTGCCCCTTTCCAACCAGGAAAATCTAAGTATCAAAGGTGAGCCTTCTAAAGAAACCTCTGCCTAGCGATTGATGACGTATTTCAGTCACGATCCTGATTTGTTCTCTATGTCCAAGGATGTCCAATCTTGAGACAGACAAATAACTTCTCAAGTTCTTGTTTCGGGAATTGTGGGTGTGAAGTGGGGTTGGGTTAGACCCTCACAAGCATTTCTCTCACTTCCTTATACTCTCCCTGCCTCCCAACCCTGCACCCCTCCACAGGGACGGGGCTCAGATGGTGGCCAAGGGCTGCAGGGAGAGATACAGAGCATTAGCAGCTCTTCTGAGAGCCCAGGCAGAGGGAACAAAACCCAGTGATAAAAAATAATCTTCTGTTCAGGACTCAGATCAAGTGGAAGGCTGGGAGCAGGTCTGATCTGAACCTTAGTAAAACTGTGGGATAGAATGAACTTGATCTTAAGGTGCCCAGTATCCCATCTGTACCCTTTTCTCCCTCTTACCTCTTTCCCCAGGATGCAGTTTCTCCTTAATAGATCCCCAACTACTCATTACTTCCCACTAAAGCTTCTGAAGGTTCCAAAGTTAAGAAATTTCCTACTATACTCCCATTCTAAAGTTTCTTGTCCTGAAGGCGCCTTCTTCACAGAGGTTTCACAATCTGATAACCCTTGAACAGTTTTATGTTTTCATTTGTATATTCTAAGCCTGTATAGCCTCTCTGGATAAAGTTTTTAATTTTTAACTTCCTCTGGCAATGAGTCTCAGAGAAGGGATCTCCTAAATA